TTCCTCACCATCCAGCGGATGAATCAGCCGTGAATCGCGCGTTTGTCCGTGCTGATTATTCGCCCTTGGCCACTTCATGCAATCCAGCAAGTTTCATTCCCGACGTTCGAGGAGGAATACGATGCTATTGTGATGCTATCAAACCCCTAATGACTCTCGTCGAATAATCCTCGCCTGTGACAGGCAATGCGAGGCGTCAGTATCATCATCATCAGCACCACCATCATCATTTCGCAATCAAGAGAGCGACACAATCTCGAACTTTCACATGGACAACGAATGCGGACGAATCCAAACAAACGCAATTCCCACGACCATGAGCGCTACCTGAGAGAAACTTCCGAAGGATTTCTCGGGACTGAGGCAGATTTCGTTCGTCCACGATGAAGGACACGGAGGGTTCGTCGGGTATCAATGTGGATAAAGGCGAACGGTAGATTGCAGACGGTGTCTTGGTTCCCGGGATGGAAAGGAGCTTTCTCCCGCACGGATCGATGGAGACCTTCGCCCAGGATAATTCGATAAGCATGCTCGTGAAGGGCATGATGTCCCTGTCGACCATCGAGGGAATCTCCATTTTGAAAGACGACCCTTCGGAACAGCGGCTCATATCATTCAAGTACTCAGCGCTCGAAGAGCCACAGATCTTGACTCTAGATTTGATAGACCGTTTAACATGACGCGGAAGTGTAGTCCTGAGAGCGGCAGATATTCTCGCCGGATTCCCTGCGCATCATCGGTCTCGAGAATATTCGAGAGACAAGGGTGACGGCTCGGCGCGGCAGCTCCGAAAAGGATTGAGCCGTCTCATTGTTTGATGAGACCGAAGAACGAGCTCAATGACGACGCGACGTCGACACCGGAGGCCGCGGGAAGGCTCGAGAGATCTTTCGAAATAATCATTGCAGAAACCCAGATTCTCGATGATGAATCGAAAATAGTATTCGATTGGCTCCTCACAATCATCGGTTTTTTGGTTACGTTGCTTCCGAGGAACGAAGTATGAGCTCGCGATGAGCTTTGAATTCCCACGTTCCCAGAGTGGGGAAGTGCGTGCCAGGACAGAAAACTGAATCTGGTCGCTGCCCACATTTTCCGTCCGGGGTCAGGTGAATCTATTTCGGATTGAACGTCGCCAAAGCAGATGATCCTGCTCTCTCGAAGGCTGATGTTATCTCGACCTCTTCGTTAGGAGGCGTAGCGGAGCTTGTCCGGAGTTCCGTCTCTGAGAATGCCATCATTGTCCCGACATCGAACGCATCCATTATCAGGAGGGACCGAATCCATTTCAGAATAGCTTTCGCCGAGAGAGGTCTCCTCCACTTCCATCGTAGGTAGAGCAAATTGTAGGAGACATTCAGCCAGTCCCTATCTCGAGAGTGAACATATTCGGAGGCCGGTAGAATTTCATTCGCGACCTCTCTCAGACCTGTTCGACCCATGAGCCAAATGGATCCCGAGTCCAGACTGGCTCGCTCATGCTTCTCAGGGGCGATCGATATCGATTAGCTATATCGAGGGGGTGGGGACCGGGTCGTCGGCACGAGTGGCACCTCTGAGGGGGTTAGGAATAATTCTCGAGAGTTCCGGCTAATGGAGGAATTGAATTCTCAAGAATGCTGCGAGAGAAGGGTGCTTCGGCTCGACTCCAATCCGGGAATGGAATTCCCCGCGAAGAGCGCTTTCTTCGAGAATCGCGGGTCGAGGGACCTCGGGGATGGAATTCGCATAGAAGCCGGAATTCAACTTGCATATCGAACGCCTGATCGCCAGAGTGGGCTGCTTCTTTGGAAGCACCTCTCGAGAAGCCTGCAAGGGGTCATCTTGAAAGTTTTACGCCGAAGATTCCCATTTGGCTACAATCTCTCGTTTCCTCACTATGTCGATCGCTCCCCAGATCTCGATCGAACTCTCGTCCACATCAATGGGAGGAGTTCTTACATCTGAATGTGTCATTCAATTGATTTCGGATCGATTTGCCGCTCATGCGACGCTAAACGGGTTGTCTCCCCTACAATCATCGCCGGAGATCTCGCGTTGCCGGGAGCGAAAGTTGCATTTTACGCCGCATTGACGCGGCGCCGCACCGTCATGGTGGGGTGATTGGGATGACGGCTCACTTATTTCCGTCGTCTTTAATATGGAAACTTTTCGCTTCGAACTGTGAAAATTATCACGTGATGGTGTCGGAGAATTCAGGCAAGCGGCAGTCGGTCTTCATGTTCCGAAGCGGAAGCGATCAACGACCGATCAATTCGTGGCGAGTCGATGGTGCAGGCATCAGGATTTCCCAAGTCCGAGCTCAGTAAACACCCAGCGCTGTAGAACGGCGCAAACTAGGGACGTTTATTCTTGAAACAGCGCGCAGACCATGGAAGTCGAATTCGAATGGATCGAAACTGTCTCTCAAGGGAGTGTACGATTATGCGTCCCGAGAGGCGTCGCGTCGGCGAGTCTATTCTCCAGCCTCGACTAGGAGCAAAAGGTCGAGTCATCATATGCGATGATCTGGCAATCTCTCGCGAATGGTGATGATCATGGCTCATGTGTGGAAGTGGGATCGTGCCCTCAGAGATTCTCCAGACAAATCAAATTTTAGTCTTTTCACGCCCTTGAACACCGAATAATGTTCTGCGTTATCTGAAATTAGGAATCTGGAGCCCTCAGCAACTGTTGAGCTTCTCATTTTAGGCGCTGAGGGGGAAGATCATCCGAATCGTGCTGAGCACGCTTGGTGTTGATGAGGCGTTAACGCGATGAATGTAACATTTTTCCAAGGTATTTTGGGGATTGTTGAGCTATCACGGAGCAAAAGTTGACCGGATAAAATCGGAGGGAATGAAATCAGCTATAACTACATATAATTTCCTCTCGTCACTACAACCCCAATGGGAGGGGAAGGGGGAGGGTAGCAGCCTTTTCGTCATTCCTCGCTTGAAATGCAATCCCGACTTACCTTGCTCCTCGATTGGGAACCTCAATTCGGGGGATTGAACTCGGAGCTCTTCTGACGATGGCAGCGACTTCATAGCGTACGGCTGCATGCGTCGCACGTGTTACGCACCGGATGGAAACAGCTGTCGCCGCGATGGGGCAGGTTCGTACAAGGACGAGCTCATGATTTGTTTCGTAACTTTGGCTAACATTTATTCAACAGCTAACGGGAACAAATAAATTTATATAGAATCTATAACGAAATTCAACAACCGTCAAATGATTTCCGGGCTTATTCGGCTCTGCTAGATAAGCTGGCATATCACATTCGACTCTGGCAACATATGTACAAATTCGTTCCATCCTGAGTGGGGCCAGATGACTCCCCATGCGATGAACTGATTGACTGCTCGACGCGTCGATCGATTTGGTCAGACAGTTACCTTCCGGCGGAGTCTACGATGCAAGGGCGTGCAGCAAAACCAAGCCCCTTCTTGGACTCATCGATTCACGGAATTTTCACAAGAACGCAAGTGCCGTCGTCAAGGTTCGTTGACTGCACAATTGTACAGTGGACGAAGCTCAATCGTCTGTTCCTCGCTCTTGGAATCTTCTCCGATCATGGGTCTTCTCCCGCTTGCCCTGCTTCGCCGATCATCGCTGGCTCGTTTGCTTCGGCAGCGAGCGAACCTTTCGCGCGTCATCACAACCGCAACCAAGAATCGGAATCGTTCAGAGGAAGTCTTTCGGGTATAACAATCTTGTTGTTGGCGCTGTCGTCGTCGTCGCGATCGTCTCGGAAGACACTATCATCGTCATCTAGGCGACGATAATCATAATAATACGATGATCATAATAATAATACGAAGTGGGAATAACGCAAATCGACAACAGTGAAACATTCCATTAAATAACTATAGCACAACATTAAACGGTCCGCTTTCATACATAAAATAGGTTTCCGCACAACATATTTACAAACAACGAACGTTGCGACTAACTACTGACTAAATGACTGACTGACTGACTTACTGACTCACTGACGCACTACTTCACTGAGTGAGTATTGAGCTCACAACATACGGGCCCGGATTAGCCAAAATGGCACACATGACTAGTGGGTTAGTTGAGAGAAGATTCTGGGAAAGAAAGAGCGAGAGAGAGAGAGAAAGGCAGAAAGAAGACAGAGAGATGCAGTGGAGGGACAGATAAACCAAAGCAACCCAGGAGGAGACGATTGAAGACGGAGGGATAGCTCGCGGAAATGGGCATCGCGAAGGGTAGGTACATGCGTGGAAGGATCTCTTGATACAGCCTTCGATGTCGGAGGGTACCGACGATGGAGGAGCAGCCCCGATACGGGGGTCGGAACGATAGGAATAGGATAGCGAGGAAGAGAGAGAGGGGATCGGTTAGAGAAACCAAGAAAATAGGGAGCTTAGACCGATGGTGTAATGCTGAGAGAAACTTCCGAGAAAGAAGAGAACTAGCCCTGAACAGGAACGGCTGAGGGAACTCCACGGAACAATCCGATGGAGGAAGGGCCGAGAACAGGATACGAGTTCACTCCCTGGGAAGGATGAGAATTCGGGATGACTGAATGAGAATCATTCGAGAAGCTGAACCAGAAGCCATCCGGAAAGGAATCCGAGGGGGCAAATGAGCTCGAGTTGACCGCAACTTCCCCTGGCTCGATCGCGGACAGAAGGAAGAACCTCGAGCCCGAGGCAGCCACGCAGCGGAGCAAGGAGAGCCGATTGCGTGCCGAGGATAGTGGTGATAGGCTTCGCCTACCCGGCGTCGGGAAGAAAGGATCATAGGCCACCGAGATAGACAATGGGAAATGCGGGAAAGTTCGGAAAAGAGCTAGATAGAAGACCATTCACCTATTAGTGTGCGGCAGTGTCAGAGCTAGACGGGAGGAAAGTGTTCAAGGAAAGCGTCGAGTGTTATCGAGAAGATAAGGATAGACCAAGAGTTCTAGGGAGGGAGAGGCTTGGCTGAACCCGGACACACGACATACGACGTCAACACACGCACAAATGACGGAACTGGCATCAATTGAATTACTGCTTGCGAGAATGCGAAGAAGACGAGACGCTCTTCTTCGCGGAGCTGGCGGCCGTGTGCAGATCGCCTCCGTACGCGGACGAGAGTCCGCTCGACCCGAGTCCCGAGGACGTGTACGCGGAAGTGTCGATACCGTGACCGTACGAGCTTGAAAGCCCCGTGGCATGTCCGACAACGTGCTGGTTGCCATAGCCGTCCGCGACTCCGATTTGGATGGGCGAAGTGCGGTACCGAATCACGTTCCTGTCGGCTTCCATGATGGGATGGGGTCCGGGGCTGAAAGCGAGATGGGGGTTCTGTTGGTAGTAGTGACTTCCAGCGGCGGTGGCGGCGGCCTCGAGATCGAAGGGCTTGTCGACCATTTTCAGAAGGGACTTCATGACGTCCTCGTTGCTGCTGCTGTAGGATTCGGACGGGGAGGCGGCGAGATCGCCGTTAGCGAGTTGTCCAATCTGGCTCGTCTGGTCGACCACCGAGAAGAGACCGCCGTAACTGTTGCTGGCAGAAGGAGCCGAGCCGTAGTCGGCCTGGGAACCGTAGGAAGCGTATCCTTGGACGCTCGGATATCCAGCGCTAGCGTATGCGGAGCCAGGATATCCTGCGCTGGAGGGGTATCCGTAAGGCGCCTTCGCGTAAGTCGGTCCGGCGTACGAAGGCGAAGCGTAAGATCCGTAGAGGGCACTTGACGTGTGTTGGAGGCCGGGCCGGGGGTACGACGGCCTGCCGTAGCCTCCAGGAGCGGAGTAGGGAGCAGAAGCGACCGGCGAGGCACCGGGAGGAGCCGGTGGGCCGTAAGCCGGCGCCTTCTGGGGCGGTCCACTCGCGGGATATCCTTGTGGTCCGCCGTACGAGTGCGGCGGTGGAGCCACTGCCTGGTTCTGAGTTTGCTCCTCGGGCTTATCCCAACCGAACATGCGACGTGCGCGGTCCCATATAGGACCGGCGTTCGCTTCCTGATGCAGGAGCGCTACACTGATAAGAACCACCACAAACACTTTCATGACTGACTGGCTTGTTTGTTCGAGTCGTTCAGCTGACTCCTGCTCGTCTTACGAATTCAAGTCCACCACTATCGAGCGGCACGTTCACTGTACGAGACGTGGCGGGGCGTCTTCACTTCTTCCTGCTGCGGTCCAACAACTGGTCCGGCAATCCGGTGTGCGGCTCTTTTATAGCTTATTAACGCTAGCGAGGCGAGCTGGTGAGGGAAGGCACACCATCGACTTCTTCTTCTCCGTCGACGTCGTCGTCGTCTTTGACGTTGAAGACGTCGACGGCACCGTTTTCTCCTCCTGATTTTCTCCCCCTTTGCCTGGCTAGCGTCCGGTGTGGAAGGGGCACTGAATGATTCGGCTCCGAATCCTGGCGGTCGGCCGGGCGGCCGGCAGGCTGGCGTCTTGCCTCAATGAGCGTAACGGCTTCAGCGCATTCCGATCAACGGAATTTCGCGGCGGATGTCGTCTATACGTGTCTGTCTGTATATCCGTTCCGGCCAATGTTGACATCGTTATAAGCGTCGATGTCGGTAGCCAGACGGAGTCGAGAACAACAAAAATAATTTCGTATGCACATCCGATGCCTAACAAGACTAGAATTAGCGGGCTCTGCGATTTGATGCATTCGCCCGGGCCGCCCGTCGTGGCGGATGGCTGCCTATGCTCTATGCGAGCCGGTCTTTTCGTAGATTCCTCTGAGGAGAACCTCGTTGCACTCGAATGGAAAACTCTCGACGGTGAATATCATGGCTTGCGATATCCCTCCCGGTGGGTGGGCAGCAGGAGAGGGGGGCTCGAGAGGTGGCAGTAGGTCTCCGGCACGTTCGGACCAGTTCTAGTGTAGGTCGATAAGTTGTCGACGTTTTGGGTAAGTGTTCATGTCATTGGTAAACGTTCGTCATCGCCAGCATTGTAATCGTATCATTTTTGGTCGGTTTGTTTCCCCACGTAATCACTCCGTGATCTAGTTTCTCACCGCAGGCACGCAAGGGGGAAATCATAATCACTTCGAATTCACCGGCTGATTCTGTTCGAATGAATGAGTGAATGGACGGATGGATGAATAGATGGACGGACGGACCGGTGGACGTGCTGGAGACAGAGATGCTGTTGGAGTCTGATCGGCTCCCTCGATTACAAATTCAAATCTCTCCGATTCCGGACTCGATGGGGCGTAGTCTACGCCCCATCTATCATGTCTGATATTCAAGTCTCTGTCGACGCTGGCATTGAGGCTCCTTCTTCGCGAACATGACAGACAAGCTTCGTTCTTTGGCTCGATATTATTTTGAGTTGAAAACATGCGCTGGTGGGCGAATCTCACTCATTCTCAGCCACTCAGATGCCTCGATCGGCCCACCGGTCGATCAACTCCATGGAAGTTCCGTCATCCCGTTGTTTCGGCGCCAGAGGTGTTCGTTCCTCAACGTTTCCGGGGACTAATCAAATTAAAACTAAGAGTTTAATCCGGGGTACAACTTAGAAAATTACGAACGGCATACCGTTCTCATCGGATATCCGTCGAACAATGCAAATTGCCTCCGACGCGTTCCCATCATGGCGACATTATGCAGGAGCTGAAAACATGCTGATTACGATTTCCCCTTGTCTTCCGGCGGTGAGAACGAAACCAGAATCCAGCAGAGAGTTCGCCTCAGGACATCATGGATCGGAGGTCTGAGTATTGAAGTTCTCCACTCATTCTCGTATTTTCAGAAATTTCACGCGCTCGGTTTCCGAGACGTTTTCTGCATCACATCGTCCGTCTGGGGTCAGCGCCTCGATGTGGACCGGCGGCGTATTTCAAATCAAAAGACAGGAGATCCGCGTGGACAAGCCCTCAGGGAAGCTTGCCGTGGAGAAACTAAACGAAGTGTGGGAACGTGGTAGACGGCGTAGAGGCGCTGACCAGCAACGCGCAGCACTTTTCTACCGGGATTTGCAACACCCGTCATCTCGTCGTGTCGTCAAGGTCGTCAGCGGAACGGTCATGTTCTCTCTCACTCACTCGGTCAGACATAGTGCTCACCACAAATCGTCGGGTCCATGTCCACATGGTGCGTGTCCAGAAGTCGGGAACGATTGTCTGCGTTGTTTTTCCCTTCGAGGAGGAAAATTTGAGTCCTCGAGGGACGATGTGAATTCTCAAATAAGGCCGCCGAGATGAAAACTGCTTCCAGCACTCGCAGCCTTGGTGGTGGAGCGAACTTTCCTGGGATGCGACATTTCTCCGTAAAGTTTTCCGTGGCCCTTTGATTTGATTTCGAAAGTGCCTGAAAAATGAAGCGATAAGCCTGCAGGCGCGGGAGCACCGGAGAATGGGGATGGAACCGAACTAAGAGAAAAAAAAGAGACCGGCATGATTCTCGTCGGGAAACCCCGCATCGCCAGCTTGCCTGAGACTTTCGCGCATGAGTAACATCTTGATATCCGGGAGCATCCAAAATAGATCAGTCGTCCGAAGTACGGAGCTCCTTGTCCAATGATTCTCCTGAGCGAGGGGAGCTTTTGCAAACTCTCCGTCTGATCAAACGCAATTGCGAATCTGACTGCGGAGTATTGCACCGAGTTCAGCGGTCCCCGATCAGGATCCAGAGGTAAGGTGGTGGAGGAGGGCTTGATTAGTCAAGATTCCAAACGCCGTATCGGCTGTTAGAGGCACAATACTGACTACCCTTACTTTATTTGTTTATGTTCCATCCTAGCCTCCTTCCGCAGTCTCTCGCTTATTCATAGAAACACACTGCGTGGTGAATGCTAGATTCGGCCGTATAATTCGTCCCAAGAGCTGATGTGCCGACAATAGATGTATAAACGATCCGAAAAGTATAATCCACAGCAGCGGTGTCGATAAGACAACGGTGTGCAAACGGCTGCTGATGGGAGATCCGCTGGCGGATATTTGTGCACGAAGCAATCATTTCAGATGCCAGGGAGATTTGAAACCCGTCTCGTTTCACAGATTGAGTTACGGTGGCTTCCGTGGAGCTGTGGACGATATTCTTTGATTAATGGCTGCCGATCGCTAGATTAATTCTCTGGCACTGCATTTCGATTGGAAGATCGAAATTTCGATCGAACTTTCGATCGATTGTGTACGATTTGGATTCTCCTTTTGTTCCCCGGATCCCTTACGAACAAAAAGAAGTAAAGGAAGAAGTGTTCGCCCCGATTGACTGACTCCTGACCCGAATTCGGGTACGGACGATTCTGACTTACGCTCAATTCGAGCGCCGCGCCGCTTGGTGTACGCGAAGAGATGAGACGAGCTCATCTCTAGTGCCTTGTGCCTAATTAGTGGCCGATGCGGAGGAGGTAGAATATGGAGGGGAACGTTATGCAAAAGTGCTCAGAGCCATTTCAGAGAGCCAAGAGAGCGGGAAAACACGAAGACATTCCGCAGACGCCCACACTCGATAGTGGAGCAACCATCGCCTGGAAAAGGTCGCACACGGTCCGACCCTCTCTAGGCCGCTAGCTGTCCCTCTGACAAGGTTCCATCGAATATCCGGAGCTCGAATGGATGGGCGAATCGTTTAAACGAGAGACGTAGATGGATGCACGAGAGCGATAGAATCGATTCCCACAGACCCCGATTTCGCAATTCGGAGACGAAAAAAGGGATCTGTCGCCGACAGAGTTGGCCGGAGTAGTTGAAATCCGGTAACGAGGGTGAAACTTGCGCGAAGCGGTCGACTGCGATATTTGTAGTACGAACGCTAATGCCAAGGTACACACAGACTCGGCATCGAAACTCCATAGTCGGAAACAAACACACTCGTACCCGCTAATCTCGGAAGGCACAAGCTTTCACCAAGAGCGATCAGACATCGCAAACATTCCGCCGCCCACTTCTCGTGCGCCCTCGTTTCTGCCCTAGCATTTTCTAAGTAGCGTTAGGGACGCGCTATCTGCATAAGACGAGCTTTTACGAATCCATCGGCTCCATTTATTTTGCTCGATTTGGTTCAAGATTCTGCGACACCTTCCAGATGTCTTCCATCTTCAGCCTGCTGGACGATTCGGAAATGCCGCTGGCTCACGCATCGATCCCGAATCCGTATTCAAACATTCAGCAAGCACTGGCTGTCGATGGCAGCAGCAACAACGATGCTACGGTAGCAGCAGCGAAGGATCTGAAATGCATGAAAAATTCGAAGCGGAATTCATGGGGCGCCGGATCGTTTGGGTCATATATCCTGGGTACGCTCCAGGGCCTTCCCATCATTTCCCTTGGGAACATGGTCGCTGTTATGAAGCATCTTGCTTGATGCGAGTGGCCATCTCGGTAGAGATCGTGCTCGTATCAAGATTTCGTATTTATTACTCAGTTCTCCAAAACTATTTCCATCGTACATATCTCGAGTCGTGGCCCATGGCAGATCAGCTGATCATTCGCACTGCTCGATGATCCTTTTTTTGTGTCTCTCACGTTCCCGGTCCGTCCGTCCGTCCGTCCGACCTACCAATTGGCTTTTCCCTAGGAACGAGCGCTGTCGAGCGACTGAATGACGCAACGGCTGAGATGTTCTTCTCGAGTGAAACAACTCACTTCAAGGCTGCTCGCTCAAGGAGAGAAAAGAGGGCTGAAGCTCTGGACTGTGATCGGATTCTCACAATTGCACGCCCGCTTGCGTGTCCGACTAGCTACTCGATCTGAAGGCACGTGCACCGCATCGATTTTGGACACTTGTTGAAGGTGTGGCGGGCTCATCGAGCGGACGGATGATTGCCCCACGCACTGTGAACGCGACGATTGCTGCATGGGAATGGATCGTTTAGCGATGGCACGTCGTGATTCCTGACGTTTAGTGGTCGCAACGATCGACGGTAAGACGGACGGACGGCAGGACTGACTCACTGACTGACTGAGTCGAGCCCGATTGCCGACGGGATCGATCGTACCGATGAGGGTCAGCATCAAGTATTTGGAAGGAGCGATGCGATCGTCTGTATTGTCTTCTCGGAGCCGTTAGACGATTATTTGTTGCTTTTTCAGCCAGCTC